TGATGGTATACATTTGGGTAGAGTAGGGCTTGACTATTTTTATCTGGAATGAGTTTATTGATTAGAGGTCCAGATAGTAAATATTTCCAGCTCTTTGAGCTAGAAAGTTTCTGTTGTGACCACCCTTCTCAACATTGTATTGAGAAGGATTCTTAGGTACTGGCTTCATTAGGAAACTGTAGAGGTATGTTGATCATAATAGTGGAAGGGTGAAGATACATTGAAGACTGCCACTGAAAAGAGTTTAGAAAGTGAACAGGTTGGACAGGACATACATAGATACTTCTTAATTTATAAGTAAAAGGTAAACAGTAACAGGGAAAATGAATTTAATAAAAGAAAGGCTTGATGAAGGGACAAGTAGTGATATCCATGTTTCTAGTAGTGCTTGAAACTATTTTAAATAATTCAAGAGCAGTATTTGATAGTCCATATAATGAAGCTGCCATTCAACAATCATTTGTGGACCTTCTACTATGGAGAACTGAGGATACCAAAATGATTAAGACAGTTCTTCACAGATTGGTGAGATTATACCTATTAATGGAAATACAAACAAACAAAAATTACTCGAGATGGCACGTGCCTATAATCCCAGCAGCTTGGGAGGCTGAGACAGGACCATCACGAGTTCAAAGCCAGTCTAAATGGCAAGGTGCTAAGCAACTCAATGAGATCCTATCTCCAAAATACAAAATACAAAATAAGGCTGGGGATGTGGCTCAGTGCTCCTAAATTCAATCCCCAGTTCCAAAAAAATACATAAATAAAAATTACTCCTTTTATTTTAATTAATTTAAATGTAAATGGCCACAGGTGGCTTGTGGCTACAATACTTGACAACACAGCCTTAGAGTGTAGGGAACTGTGACATGATCTGTCCAATTCCCTCCTGCCTGCTCCCTCTAAAATGAAGCATATGGCTTCTCTTGGTGTTACACTGATGCCATTGAACGGATTATGCTGCTTTTTATTTGCTTTTCTCTCCCTGGTGATTGATGTAGATAGTTCAAGGCCAGTGTGCATACAGGGACAATTAACTAAAATAAAAATTTAAAGCCAGTCTCTCAGTTACACTAACCCTGTTTCAAGTACTCAACAGCGGTAGGAGACTGGTAGCAGCCCATCAGACCATAGGGATAGACCATTTCTATCCTGACAGTTCTTTGGGAGAGCACTGTCCTAATGGATATGGGCAAGCTGTCTGATGGCAGGAATTAAACTCAGCCTTAGTTTCTAGAATTGGACTTGAGGAAGAAAATCAGCTTGATAATCCAGCTAGGCCTAAGAAGGGAATTTAGGAGCTAAAATTGTGCAAAGATCACAATTTCATAGCCCTGTCAAGCACAGGCTTGTCCTGCCTGTACTTGAAAGCTCCTGAGATAAAACATCTCATAACTCCTCCCCTCAAACAGCATCCTAGAGGAAAGAACCTGGAGACAGGCCCACTTCCTACCAACTTTACTATTTACTGGCTATGCTGCCTTTGGCGTAGCCTAACAGAAGTTAATAATTTTAACTAATTCATACATTGTGTTAAATAAGATATGTGTAATAGTATTATATGTGGTATATAGTATGTGCTCACTAAAATATTATCATTATCTTCTATAACTTTTTTAATCCTAGTTCTCTTAAGTGCACAGAATCATGTTAACCCTTCACATATTTAATATAATTCTTTCTTTCAACCAAGATTTATTGAGTCATGTGTTCCAAGAATTTGCCCTTGTGCAGCTTACAGTCAAGCAAAAGAAGCAGGTGTTTTTTTTAAAAAAATACACAAATACATGTAAAATCACACCTATGATAAATGCTACAAAGAAGGGATTCATGTGCTCTGAGAGTGTCATTAGGGAATTTGACCTGGTTGGGTAAGATTGCTGAAGGGCAAGCAGGAGTTAACAAGGCAGACTATAGGGGACATTGTTCCAGGTGGGGGGACAACATGCTACAAAGCCCATGTGGCCAGAAGGACTGGCCTTTGGGGGAAACTAAAAACTCAGTGGTACATGGGGAGGGACAGAAGAGTGTTGGGGAGGAGTACCGGGACCAATCTTAGCCAGGAAGATTTTGTTCTTTAAACTTTGATGGAGGGCTGTGGGTGTAGCTCAGTGGTAGAATATTTGTCTAGCATCTTCGGGGCCTTGGGTTTGATCCCCAGCACCACAAAATAATAATAATAATAATTTTAAAAATAAGGATGATAGAATAGACTTTATGATTGCTGTATGTATATAGATGACTCTATGACCAGTGTGATTCTGCAATCTGTACAATCAGAAAAATGAGAAATTATACCCCAATTGATTCAAATGTATGAATTGCCAAGATCATTGTAATATCATGTGTAGCTAATAAAAAAATTTAAAAAAAATTACTCCTTAATGAATGCTGTAACAATTATAGCAGTTATTATGGAGTGTTTACTATATGCCAGAATCTGTGCTCAGTGCTTTATATATGTATCTGTCTAGAAAAGCCTATAATGTGTACAAAAAATCACAGATGGTAGCAGAGCCAGGTTTAGATCTCAGCCTATTTAATTTTAAAACTTATACTCTTCACTATTACTGCCCAGCCTCCATAGAGTTGTATACAAGCTACAGGGGCTGCTAAAGTACAAAGGCATTCTCTTAGGACATACCGGAATATTTTAGAGGTGGTGATATCAGTTTTTGAAGGATGAATAGAATTTGTCAGGAAGACAGGGAGAAAGTGATGTAAGAGAGAAATGTATGATTCATCCATGCACCTGCAAGTCATGAGGTATGGCTGAAGCACAAATTACAAAATGGACTGTAGTAAAAATAAGTTTTAGGGACTGGATAAGGGAGGGCCTGTATATCAAGCAAAAGAGTATATATTTCTTCTATTGATACGTTGTGGAAAAGTGATCAGATGGTTTTAAGTACAAGTGTTTCCCAATCAGATCTGTATCTTATAAAGCCCATGTTGGCAATGTGAACTGGCTTCTCTTGGAGTCCATACAAAGTGAGAGCTGTGGGAATAGGGGGAGGGGATGAACTAGAGACTCAGTCAAGAATGGGAGAAGGTTGACTGTGTATGGTGGTGCATGCCTTAATCCCACCCTGGGAGTCTGAAGCAGGAGGATCTCAAGATTGTGGCTAGCGTTGGCAACTTAGCAAAACCCTGTCTCAAAAAAAGAAAGGAAAAAAGGGGGGGGTGCTGGGGATGTAGCTCAGTGGTAGAGCACCCCTAGATTCAGTGTGTGTGTGTGTGTGTGTGTGTGTGTGTGTGTGTGTGTGTGTGTGTAAATGAGTAAATAAAAGAGATATAAAGGAATACCAGTAAGAAAGCTGGGTTCTAAGATGATCCTGGGATTTTTGGACTTAAGGTCTTGGTAGATAAAGGTACTACGAAATTTGATAGGGAATATAGAAGGAAAAGGAGGTTGCAGGGAAATATAATTATACTGTACCTTGTGCCAGTAATTATTTCAAGTATTGTTGAGTCACCCAAGAGGTATTTGTCTATCTCTGTGTCACCCATTGATGACTATCTTGTACTACCTTTTACTCTCATTCTCATGTTTTCTTTGTAGTTTAATAATTATTCATAATTAGAGAGCTTTTGTTTCAATGTAAAACCTAAATGATTTCAGCTAACTTGCTTTGTGTTTATGTGATTCTTTTTGATAAGAGGATTTCCCCATCCCTTCTGTGGATCAGCATCTTACAGTCCAAAAAATGAGACCTTTTTCTGGTATAAAGAGTGAGCCAAGGACTGAGTCATAAAGCATGCCTAGATTATTTAGAAGGAGGAGGACAATAAATGTAACAGGGGACCAGGGTAATGTCTATGGGACCCGAATGGAGGAATGATTTCAAGAAAAGCTTTTTTATAAAACCCTACTGAATTATGGAAGACTAAGGAGATCAAGAAAAAAGAAGCCAGTGCATTTGTAGAGAGTCATGAGAATCTTTAATTTTTAAGATTTGTGGGTGCATGTGCAAACAGTTAGGAATGGTGGAGCCAATAAAATGGCCTTAACATACAAATTCAACTATATCTTCTGTATTTCAGGAAGAAAAGGATTGAGATAGTTAACTAGTTTGTACCTTTGTTCTCGGTAAACAATGTCCCAGTGTGAGTGGTAACTTGAGAAATATATATCTGTTCCTTCATTTAGGCTCATTTTCCATGTGCCTGTTACAGTGCATGTGTTGTGAGCATCATGAAAATAAATATTGGATTTTTAAAATTTAAAATGTCCCCTAAGAGAATCCATCTATTTTATCTGATGTTCAACTAAAGGGACTGTCATCTATCCAACACCATATTCTATTTTATAAGTTATTCAATGTAGAGTTTTAGACACAAAATAAAGAATTCCACACTTTGTAGGTGATTTAAGAGATTTTAAACATAATTTGAGCGTGCATAGTTTTCACTTGTCTTTAGATCCTATTTTCTGGCCCATCTGCCTCTTAGTGAAGATATGCCTCCAGGATATATGGTAAGAGATGGAAGGAGTGTTAAGTTGTTGATGGAGAAAAGAATATAATCGAAGCCAAGTATGTGGCACACACCTGTAATCCCAGCAGCATGGGAGGCTGAGGCCATGAGTTCAAAGCCAGTCGCAGCAGTGGCAAAGAGCTAAGCAGCTCAGTGAGACCCTGTCTCTAAATAAAATACAAAATCGGGCTGGGGATATGGCTCAGTGGTTGAGTGCTCCTAAATTCAATTCTTGGTACCAAAAAAAAAAAAAAAAAATTGGCGGGAAAGCAGCAAGGTCAAAGTTATTTGTATTTCATTTATTGAGAAATTTGTGGATAATTAGAAGATTTAAGATTTTAAGATGCGGGGGAGAAAGATTAATAAAGGGAAAAATAGTACTCAATATGGGTAAGTTTTTCTTACTGATAAAAGTAGCAGGCAGGTTTTTTTCTTTAGACTTTAGGTAAATGAAATAAGGCTGTTTTCTTTTTCTACTGTTCATTAAAACATTTTTTATAAGTTTATTTGTCTGGTTACAGCTTCAGAACTAGCAAAAACAACAAGAAAATGTGTTTCATTCAGTTTGAAAAATGATGCTGAAGATACAATAAACATTCCTCAAAGTAGCAAGGGTAAGATTACTTCACCTCAGTTCTTTGAAGATAATTTTTATAGATGCTTCAAGTTAAGAGTATGTTACTTTTTTTCTTATCCAAGTGAATTTTCATGTATTTTCTTCTGTTCGGAACATTCAGAAAAATGCAGTTAGTACTCCAGTGTGTCTTTATATACAAATATTTATTAGTCAATAAAAGCAGTTTTTCTGTCCTAACTAAACTAAAGTTGTACATATTGACAGCGTCAACTAAGAAAGGTCTTTATATCCTATGTCATTTCCTTGAGTTAGCTAGCCAGTTGTTCATGGAAGACTTGGCTTAACAATTACTAAGTATAATAAGGAGTTCAGAGTTCAGAAGTCATGATTTGTGGAGAATTGTGGAGAATCTTTTTTGAACAACCATTCAAACTAGGTTAAACAGGCTACTTTTTAATAATCAAACATTCAAAAGGCTCTATTTTCTTTTTTTTTGTTAGAAATGCAGGAGATAGCTGTTACTAATGGGAATAGTCATGACATTAATAGTGATAATTTAACTTCCATTGGAATGGTAGTTAATTGAGATTCAATAGTATGTAGTGGCTTCTGTGTAAAAACTACAAATTTGCTTTAAACAAAACTAGACCATGATGAAAAGCTAAGTGTCTATAGTAAATCATGTTTTTTTGTTTCATTTAGGGCATTCTGCTTCAGACAAAGTCCAGCTGAAGGTAAGCAATTGACTAAAAACAAGCAAATAGGGGCTGGGGATGTGGCTCAAGCCTGGCATGCATGTGGCCCAGGTTCAAACCTCAGCACCACATACAAACAAAGATGTTGTGTCTGCCGGGGGCGGGGGCGGGGGTGGGGGTTCTCTCTGTCTCTCTTTAAAAAAAAAAAGGCAAATAACTTACTGTTACTAATTAAGTCGTGAACCATAAGCATTTCATCTTTTATCTTAGTTTATATAGTGTGATTTATAGGTATTTGTCAGTTAAATACTGAGTTTTTAATTGTATTTATTTACTTATTTTGGGGGTGCTAAGGATTGAACTCAGGGGCACTTGACCACTGAGCCACATCTCCAGCCCTGTTTTGTATTTAGTGACAGAGTCTCACTGAGTTCTTAGTACGTACCTTGCTTTTACTGAGGATGGCTTTGAATTCATGACCTTAGCCTCCTAAGCTGCTGGGGTTGCAGGCATGCGCCCTCATGCCTGGCTGTTATTTATTTGTGTGTGTGTGTGGTATTAGGGATCAAACCCAGGGGCTCACATTCTAGGCAAGCACTCTACTGTTGAGCTACATCCCCAACACAGTATTTAACTTGTAGATGAAGAGATTGATGTTCAGAGTGGTAAAGTCTGAATGCATCTAACTCAGAATGAGTAAAGTTAGAAAATGAGCCTGGTCTTCTGAACTGTTCTCTTTCTGCTGTGTCAGAACTGTTCCTGGGAATTTTCAACTTAGAACTGACCTGGGAATTTTATGTGTTTTTCCTTGGTTATTATATATAATTCTCTGATGTTACTTGGAGAGGTTGATCTCAAGATCCACTAAATCTATTAACCATAATTTAATTTACATTTGAAAACTAAGTTGGTTTAATTATATTCATTACAGGGTAACTAAAAAGAATTGACAGTTTTTATCTCCTACTTTATGTTTTGGTCGTTTTGTTTTTTCAGTATGGTCCTGCCTGAATTTGGGCAAACTCAGATGGTTATGAAGGAATATAGGACATTGAGTATATACGTGGGAGTGTTTCTATCTATAGGTTTATAGGTGCCTGGGCTATGTACAGGCTTAGGTAGAGAATCCCTTAGATAAAAATTAAGTACAGACATTCAAGACCATGGTTATGATCTTGCAGTAATGCTCTTCTATTTAGGCAAGTCTAGGTGTAGGATTGAATATGTTAGTCATGTCAGAGTCTCCTTTGTTTGTTTTTGTTTTTGTTTTTGAGATAGGGTCTCACTATATAACCCAGATTAGCCTTGAACTTGAGATCCTCCTGCCTCACCCTCTTGAGTAGCTGGTATGACAGGTATTAACCACTGTGCCTGGCTTTCCTTCAACTTTAATGATGCTTTTTTTTTCCTTTGTTGTATCTTCTATGTTATATCACTATTAAAAAAAAAAAGCTAGAAACCAAGCAAAAATTGAGATATATTAGAGCATTATTTTTTAAGTTAATATATCACAGTACATTAGTAGATCTTGTCAATTCTCCCAAAAGACCATTAGAAAGCCCATCAATGAGTATTTGAGCATTCCCTACCACAATAAGAGACAACACCATGACGGAGTCCTAATAGCTGTCTTAAAAGAGGAAGTTTAAGAGTATTAAATATATCAAGCTTGAGGATTTGAGCTCAAGTGGTTTTAAGGCATGTCTTACAAGATGAAGAACTGATTGGGATTGGGCAAAGTTGGGGACACCATATTTTAGGATTGATTGACATAGTAAAGAGAAGGTCTTGAAGTATATCTTGATAATTGATCTTGTTTGATAAGAGGAACATGGTGTTTGCTATATGGAGTCATTTTTTGTCCTCATGGAGAATAGTTTGTCCTAATGAACAAACTGTAAAGATAGATTAGTTTGCAGAAATTCATGTAACAGAGAAGTTGTAAATTAGTCTTATCTTTTTGGAAAACATTTTCTAAAATAGTTATTTTAACATGAGTGTTCTAGTTCTCAGACTTGATAATTAAGCCATCTAGATGAAGTTTTCTCATTTTCAATCTTGAAACCACTTTAGTAAGACATACTTATATTTAAAAAAATAAAATATAAAATTTCTATTTCATAAGTATTATTTTGTCATAACTTTTCAATTATACACACATGTGTTGAGTCAAGATGGCAAAAGGTTAAAAAGAATTTTAATGATTTTGATCAAAACATTTGAAACATACTGCATTATACTTCATAAGCCCATTGGTAAATGATCAACGAGGTTATTGTGATTATTACAGTATTTTTCTTTTTGGCAGGACTGGCAATAGAACCAGGGCCTCTGGAATGCTAGTCATATACTCTTTACCATTGATGTAATACTTAAACATTAGTAAATTTCTAGTGCATTAAAAGATCCATTGCCATATATACATAACATATACTATTTCCTTTCATGGTCATCAACACTACATATTATTGCCTTTTTAAAACTATATCCTGCTAACCTTATACATATGGTTCAAAAACTTATGTTTTTTCTTTATATAATAAGAAAAATACATGCATTGTTTACAAATGTCTGGAATTCATTTTCTAGAAATTAGTAGTCCTTTGGAATTTTTTATATTGCTTTCAATATACCCTTTGTTTTTTCTTTCAACAAAATCATTTTTCATTATCATCTAGTTGTAATATAGTCTATTGAAAGCATAATGTTTTTCCCTAGCATTTCCCCCTCTAATCAGTCATTAACTTCCATTTTATTAACCATTATGCTTTTTTATTTTTAAACAGAACAGTGACCAAAATGAATTTCTGTCAACACCACCTCGTAGTCTAAGAAAAAGATTAATAGGTATGTTTTAACTTTTACATGAAGTTTTTATAAAAAATAAGTAAGGGTCAATAATGGTTAAGTATAAAGGTTGTAGACTTTGTTTGGGGTTTTAATCTTTGGCTCATCAGTGCCAAAAAATATCTGTGACTCGATATTTTCATTTGTAAAATAGACATGATGAGAATTAATTGAAATAGACATACTCATTATATTTGACCTTGGTACAAGCTACCAAGTATTAGCTATCACTTTTTATTATTGCTGTTTCTTTTCATGAAAGAAGAATACGCTCATGTTTTCAAACTGGAGATTCCTTAAGGTCAAAAACTAGCGGACTGTATCTAATCTTAGTACTATACCTTCCACATTATGGTCAGTGAACATTGAAGTCCATTAAAGTAATATGCCTTTGAGTTTGTTTTGAGACAGTCTGGAAGTGGTTCTGTTGATTTATGGAGAAGTTTTATAATGAAATAACCTTAAATATTCATACTTGTACCAAATGCTATTGAAAGCTAAATAAGTATAGAACTATTTTAAAGATTAATTCTGAATATTAATGAAATAAGTTTATTCAGAAGTTAAAAATGGTTTTAGATGTTGAAATATTTGGCTTTGGGACAAATGGCTGTTGGCCTTTATGTCTCTGAAAGATGTTAACCTCTTGACAATAGTTACATTGGCTAGCACTATCAGATCTAGTCAAAACTCAGGGCTTCATGTTTAGTCTTTCCCTTTCAAGGTATGGATTTCATAGAACTATTAATACTACATTTATAGTCAGTTTAAAAATGGCAATGCTAAATGATTGTCTATCTGAAGTAGTAAAAGGTAATATGTATTATGTCATGTCAAATACATTCCATGTCCTATATTTTCTCCTTACCCCAAAGAAGAATCCTCTTTTTAGACAGAAAGTAAACTTTTCCTTCTCAGCCATCACCACTTATATATTCCTACATGTAATAAAACAGATGTTTTCTGGCACCTCTGTCACTTCTAACTTAGGCATGTGTCATGAGCAACAGTCAGTACAAATCTGAATCTATTAAACTATTTATGCCTGGAAAATAGGTCTTTTTTCCCCTTTTTCTTTTTAATGTGTCTATTTATGATATGCTTATTCTGGACAATCTTCTGGGGTAGATCTGTTGTTCAAAATAAACATACTGTTTTGCTTAAAGTTATTTCCTCACCAGATACAGTGGCACATACCTGCAATCCCAATGACTTGGGGGTCTGAGGTAGGAGGATTGTGAAGTTAGATAGAGGCCAGCCTCAGCAACTTAGTGAGAATCTGTCTCAAAAATAAAAAATACAAAACACTGGGGATGTAGCTCAGTGGCAGGTTACCTTTGGGTTTAAAAAAATAATTTATTTGTATAAAAATTTTATTTATATTTATTAAATTCTTGAATCAGTTCTGGGATGCAATGATATATGGATCAGTGGTGATAACAGTAGTTGTCATTTATTGCTTGCTAGCTGTATCAGGATGGTATTTTTAGTGGGAAGCAACAGAAAATTCTGCAGTACTGGTATAAGCTATAGACATTTAAAAATCTTAGTAGCATATGAGGTCTAGAGGTGTAATTAGGTGTAATTACAGTGTCATTAATGGCCCAGGTTGTTCTTAATCTATTTACTCTGCCATCAGCATTTTTCGTTTTTTGGTTTGATACTTTAACTGATGAATAGCTTCTATAATTTTAAGTTATGGGTGTAAATAGGGGCTTTTCTTCCACAAATGAGGAATATCTTTTCCTGAAGCTTCCAGCAGTTTTTTCCTCAAGTCTCACTAGTCAAAGGGTTATGTAGCCAACCCTAGATTCAAGGGAAGCTGGGAAAGCAAGTATTTAGCAGAGGGAAAAGATGATTACCAGGATTCATCTCCTCGATTAGAAAACATTACTACATTTTATGAAAATGGAGTTCTTTTAGCAAGGAAGAAGAAAGGTATTAGGTATGGTTCACAGTTTTACCAGTTCCTATATGTTGGGTATTATTAGTTGCTTTAGATACTTTTCAACATGATCTTCGCAATGGTTTATTAAATTAGATACTACTAGCTGAATCTGATAAATGAGGAAGCTGGTACTCAGAATTTATGTAACTAACTTTGATGAAATAATGAGCAAGTAATGACAAAACAAGAATTCAAAGTCTCTTACTCAAAAGCCTATACTCTTTTCATTAACCTACAATGACTCTATTGTTTAAACTTTCCCAATTACTCTTTCCCCCCATAGTGCCAAGGTCTCATTCTGACAGTGAAAGTGAATATTCTGCTTCCAACTCAGAGGATGATGAAGGAGTTGCACAAGAGTATGAAGAGTCCACTAATGCAGTCACATTCAGACAAAAGATTGAAGCTCAGAATACAGTAGTTTCGGCTTCTGTTTGCAAAGGAACACCTTCTAAGAAAATGAAAAGAGATAAAAGAGTAAGTGAAGAGAGACTTTAGCCTTAAGGAAAAATTAAATATAATCCTTCAAAGGCAACTCCCCTAACAGAAAAGATCCATAGGAGAGGGGAGGGGTCAACAGTTCTATTCTTCACTTTTCTATATTTTTTCTCAACCTTACATGTAAATTCCTACATGTATTTGTTTCTATTTTTGAGCTTTATCTTCTGGACTCTTTGAACCATTACTACACTATAGGCAGAAGGTGATTGCTCAATTCGTTTGTATAACAATGAACTTATAGGAGCAGGGGATATAGTTCAGTTGGTAGAGTGCTTGCCTCTCATGCACAAAGCACTGGATTTGATCTCCAGCGCCATTAAAAAAAAATTTTATATAATCTCGTTTTTGTAACCATTGTTGATGTGTTGAAGTCTGTGTAAATGATAGTTATATGGCTGGGCACTGTGGCATCTGCCTATAATCCCAACTACTTTGGAGGCTGAAACAAGAGGATCATAATTTTAAAGCCAGCTTGGGCAATTTAGTGAGATCTTGTCTGAAAATTAAATATGTATATATACACACACATAATACACAATATATACATATTTTATACGTATATATTTTATATATACACACACAAATAAAGAATTTTATTGGTGATGCACACCTATAGTTCTAGCTAATTGGAAGGCTGACACAGGATGATTACTTGAGCCCACAAGCTTAAAACAGCTGGGGGATACAGTAAGACCTTGTCTCAAAAAAGAAAAAAAATAATGATTTCACGTGTCCTAGTCCTATTTTAGACTAATCAAACTGTTAGTTTTGGGACTGGGGTTGTAACCCAGTGGTAGAGCTCTTGCCTAGCATGTGTGAGGCAATGGACTCAATCCTCAGCATCACAAAACAAATAAATAAATGAAGGTGTTGTGTCCATCTAAAAACACGGGGGGAGGGGGGGAGCTGGAGATATAGCTCAGCTGATAGAATGCTTGCCTTGCATGCACAAAGCCCTGAATTCAATCCCCAACACCACAAAAAAATAAATAAATAAAGTTAGTTTTGGGGGCTGGGGTTGTGGTTCAGTATAGAGCATGCATGAGGCACTGGGTTCAATCCTGACACCACATAAAAATAAAAAAGGTATGTGTCCATCTACAACTAAAAAAAATACTTTAAAAAAAAAAGTTAATTTTGGTAGAATGCAAATGTCTAAGACTATTTAGAACTGACTTTACTCTCTCCAATTTCAGAATGACTTAGTAGAAGAATATTTTGAAGCTCACAGCAGTTCAAAAGTTTTAACCTCTGATAGAACACTGCAGAAGTTAAAGAAAGCAAAACTGGACCAGGTATGTTGTAAAGTATGTTAGTCCCAAATTTTTCTTAATATGACCTGAAAATTTTACTACATTAGTTGATAAATTTGAAGTGTACACAAGCAAAATTATTGTCCTGATAAAATAAAACACAAAAGTAATGTGTTGTAATTATTACATATTTATCATATAAACAGTAAGTAATTCACTGGTTTAGAATTCTGTTTGATGCAATGTAGGCATACTTTTTTGTCATTTTTCTTTTCTTATGGATTTATAATAAACATCATCCTTGATATCCATGTACCATTAGACTCTGATATTAATTTAACTAACATGTTCATTAAATCTCACCCTGGTCATAAAACAGACTTTGACCTGACTTTTTCTCATTTACAAACCTGGCAAAACTCATCAAATGCTTGATGATGTTATAGAAAACTTTCCCAGTGCAGTAAGGTAATAGGTTGTTGTATAGCTCATTTTTCAAAAAATACTATATAGCTATACTTGTAGAATTTTGGGCTGATACCTCCCCAAAGAGGAGAAAAATTTTTACTAGAAAGAGGGCTGATAATCTAAGTCTTCTTGACTTACACAGGTTTAGTCCCTTGTCCAAAATGCTTTGGACAAAGTGTTTCTGATTTTGATATTTTGGGATTTCAAAATGTTTATATAATACATGAGATATCTTGGTGGTAAGACCCAACTCTTAACCCCCAAATTTATTGTTGTTTCTAATACACACATAGCCTGAATATAATTTTATGCAATATTTTAAAGAACTCTTGTTTTGACCATGACCTTTCACATAGCGTCAGTACTCAAAAGGTTTCGGATTTTGGAAATTTTAATTTCTGGATTAGGGATACAAGACCTATACTCTGCAAACTAGGATTTAATGAATTTTCTAAGGTGCATGGAGCTTTTGACAGAGTGTTTGAGACATAGAAAAAAGATAAGGGTAGCCTGAATAACCTGGTGCTGTGCAGTTTGGGGGATTTTTAGATTTTTATCACCTGGCTGATTAGAGACTAGATAAAAAATAAATGTCAAGGGGCTGTGATTGTGGCTCAGTGGTAGAGTGCTCATCTAGCACGTGTGAGGGCTTGGGTTCTATCCTAAGCACCACATAAAAGTAAATAAACAAAATAAAGGTATTGTGTCCAACTACTTCTAAAAAAAAAAAATACTTAAAAAATAAAAATAAAATGGATCTGGTAAAAAAATAAATAAAGTAAATGTCAAGAAGCTAAGTTATTCCAAGGAAGAGATAACAGTAATGTTTGCTTAGAGCATATATTTTCATATAAGTAACATAGGAGAAGGATAAGTGGATCTAGGATCAAAGTAGGACCTAGAGTCAAAAAGATATCTACAAGGATGAAACAAACAACTTGTTACAGATAATGAAGGTAGGGAAGACCTTTCTTTGATTGTAGAAATAGTGTAGCTAACCAGTATAATCTCAGAAGTATGTTACAGTAAATATTTATTTCTTGTGTCCATCTATTAACAAGAGATTGGATAATCTAGTATTTGCTCCATGTCTCTCTTCCTCATGAGATCAGTGGGCTAGCTGAATCATGTTCTTCTAATGAGAATGGCAGAGGTTTAAGAGAAGTGGTAATAAAACACATGATCTGTCACTTGTGTCTCATTCTAGTGACCACAGCAAACAAATCATGTGGCTGAACCACACTCCACCCATTTAGTGGGAGGGATAGCAAAGTCATGTAGGAAAGGGTGTAGATACAGGAGGGGTTAAGTGTTGGGGCCTGTAGTCCAGTTCTCCATTGATATTAAAGTTTGAAATCAAAGTGCAAAGATGAGAATAAGCATTCTAGAGTTGTTCATACCCTGAATACAAATACTCAGAAACATACTTAGATATTCCAGCATAAAGAATTACAGGAAATGGGGCTGGGGTCGTAGCTCAGTGGTAGAGCACTTGTCTAGCACATGTGAGGCACTAGGTTCGATCCTCAACACCACATAAAAATAAAATAAAGGTATTGTATCCATCTACAACTTAAAAAACTTAAAAAAGATTTATGGGGAATGCTTTCTGTATTTTTTCAGAACTCTTGACACCAGAAGGGGTGAGAGAGATTTTTAAAAACTTGACAGTTGTACTAAAAAATAGTCCTGTTCTTTAATTATGTGGAAAAATAATTACATAGGCCAGAACACCTGGAATATTGATTATAATTCTAATCTGCAGGATTAAAAGAACATATACATTTAAGGTAAAATCATGAAAATATGATAGTACCAGGATAAAGATGCATATTACAGGTTTTTGCTAGAGTTTTCATTTTTAAAAAAATTATGTTTGATTCACCAGCATGAATTTATAAACTTTGGGTGTAGGGAGTGCATCTCCAGCAGTTTTAATTTTGTTGTACTAAGGACTAAACCCTAGGGCACTCTACCATTGAGCTACATCCCCACCATTGAGCTACATCCCCACCCAGACTTCTCCTCACTTTGAAAAATACTTTATTTTGAGACAGGACTTCAGTATTCCAAGGCTGGCCTCAAAGTTGGGACCCGCCTGTCTCAAGTCTCCCGAGACTCTGGGATTATATGCATGAGCCAGTGTACCCAGTCTTCCTCATTTTTTATATCACTGTTTTTAACATTTTGCCATATTTAGCCAGGCATGGTGATACACACTTGTAATCCTATTGACTTGTAAGGCTGAGTCAGAAGGATTATAAATGTAAAAGCCAGTCTCCAAAAATAAAATATAGTGAGACCCTCAGAAACTTAGTGAGACCCTGTCTCAAAATAAAATTAAAACAAAATGGAATAAGGATATAGCTCAGTATCTCCTTGGTAGGCTGAGACAGGAATATCACAAAGTTTGAGGCCAGCCTCAGCAAATTAGCAGAACACATAAGCAACTTAGTAAATGTCTCAAAATTTTAAAAAAAGGACTGGGAATGTAGCTCAGTATTGTAAAGTGCCCCTGGCTTCAATCCCCAGTACCAAATAAAACAAAACAAAACAAAAATACAAGTAGATATATAGATAGATAAATATTTGCCATTCTTATCAATGATATGGATTTGTTAGAAAATAGCTTTTTGTAAAATTGCAGTGATTCAGATTTACTAGTGATAATGGTAAATTATAAGGAACCTTTAATGTTTTCTGAGAATTAAATGTTGAAAAGTTACCTTAAGTGTTTACATTTTTTCAAATCCATAAGTTGGTGCTTTTTTGTTTTTTGTTTTTGCTTTTGTGATATTGAGGGTCTAACCCAGACATTATACATGCTGTTGAACAGGTGTTATATCATTGAGCTAGATTCACTGTTTTTTTTGTTTTTTTGTTTTTTTGATTCAAGGGTTTTTTAAAGTCTGTCTGGACTTGTCCATGATGGGAGGCAGACTTGATCATCTCTTTATGGTAATCTTTTGGAAATTAAAGGATTATATTTAAAACTTAGCAGATATTTTATGTTATTATTACATATTTGTACTTAAAAGTGTTAAAGGTTTTTAAGAAAACAAAATATTTAAGTCATATTTGCAGTATTATGTGTATTCAGTTGATGTATTAATTTCTAAACTTGATAAAGTAATATTTCTATTAATAGCCTCTTCTAACCTCAACCTCTAAGGAAATATTTTTAGTTGGACTGATTATCAGTATGTGGTTTAAGAATTATTTTCTTCCATTTAAAAAAATTTTTTAATTTTTTTTAAGCAAACTCTGCGTAACTTATTGAGCAAGGTTTCTCCTTCCTTTTCTGCTGAACTTAAACAATTAAATCAACAATATGAGAAATTATTTCATAAATGGATGCTGCAGTTACAGTAAGTATTATTATCATAACAAACCTTTGCCAAATAAAGAATATATTTTTATGTTTTTGTTAAAATAATATATTTAATTTTATTTTTATAAATAACTTAATGTACTTATATATATAAATTAATTAAAAGTAGGTAGTTTTCCAATTTTATGACTCAAAAAGAGGGATGTCATTTTATTGAATAACTGCAAAAATTCTATATTTTTTAAAAATTTGTAATATGAAGATAGATATCAATATTTTAATCTAGTTTTCCATAGTAAAGTTCCTAAAATGAAAGAATGTATATTTATTGTCTTTTGATATAATTGTATTTACATATACTTTAAGAATTTCATAAGGTTTGTTACTTGAACATTTTAGCATTTTAAAATTATTCCTTAGAAAACTTTTTCAATTTTACTATTTTTCAGATGCCTCAGTTAAACTTTAAATTTCTATTAAAATGCATAGAAGAGTGATTAAAATAAAATAAAAATATTTTCTTCTTGTATTTAAAAGGACCTTAACATAAAATAGTGCTTAAAATGTATGCTAATGTAAATATACCTGCAAATTCATAGTTGCAGAGTCAATTGGGCCAACTAAATGGGACAGGTCCATCAAACAGTAAGACCATAGAAATTATCATAATTATCCTTAATTGATCCTAGTTTTATGTTGGCGATAGTATATACAGAGGTTATGCTGGGAAGAAAATGATTATCTTTCTTGCAAGGACCTCAGCTTTTCTCAGTAACTGTGGATATGAGGAGTACAAATTTGTACAGCAGCTATTTACTCAAATCCTATTCCCTTGCTTACCACTTCTTCCTTTTGCCTGTTAATTCAGGTTGCTTGATTTACTGTGCTTCCCATTCTAGACCTTGTGGTCACCTACTTCAGTGGAATTACTAACTGAATTCCTTTACCCCTTTTTTTTCTGTTTCTTTGAACTTGCTAATCTCCATCTTCCAGTGTTACCTCTCTCTGTTTATTTCTAGGCTGTAGTGTCATTGCCATAGGGCATCACATAAATACTCTTTGTCTGACTGACCTCCATAAACAGTCATAGAGCTGGATTTAGCTTGACTTTAGTGTTTGGAGGGTCTCCTTCACTCTTTTGACTTCTAATACTATTTGTATGTGAGTAACTGTCAAAATTGTTACTTCTAACTTAGACCTCACTCAGTTGTAGCAGATGTGAATATCTGAATGTAGGTTGGATGCTGTGTGAATAATTCAACATACATATATCAATTTCAACTCTGCTTTAAGCTGTTAAACTTTTTAGTGTCTTTACTGACCATGGTCTCTTTTGTCTCTGAAAGGTAATGGCATTAGAGAGAAAGTTACTAAAGAAGTTGAAACCATAAGGTTTCAAATGGCTAATAGAATGGTTCCCTTACTTTGCACAAGTTGGGAATCAATTTAGACATCTCAGATCTTCCTGTACTCTTTATAAGCTAAAAGTAATCAGTTAATAATGAAATTGGCAATAAGAGATTTTAAACGTGAATTTCATGAATGCTATCTTTCCTAACAGCCTTGGGTTCAACATTGTGCTTTATGGTTTGGGTTCTAAGAGAGATTTACTAGAAAGGTTTCGAACCACCATGCTGCAAGATTCCATTCATGTTGTCATCAATGGCTTCTTTCCTGGAATCAGTGTGAAATCAGTAAGTTTAAAAAGACTAAAGGAAACAATATTTAAAGGATTTTGTTGTTGTTGTTTTAGCCTTTAAACTAGTTAGATTGCATGGTACTTAAGATTATGTATTTGGAATCAGAGGGTGGCTTTAAAAACCCCACTTTTTTCCTGCTTTTATAACTGATATGTATTAAACCTTAAAGAAATACTAGCTTGTTACTATATCAAATATATATGGAAATTCTCTGCAGGATAGGATTATGGGGTCTGAAATTTTATTATATCTTTATGTAATTTGGTACTCTAAATATAATAATATAAATAATAGTCTATAGTTTTATGTGTATATTGTAGAGTATTTTTATTTAAAATACTCATCTTTCATGCTTTGAGAATTTCTTTAAAGCTTTTAGATGCTGAATATGAACCACCATAGCATTCCTTTAGTGTCCTTTGTGCTTATATCCTGTTTCCCTTGATAAGTTTATACTTTTCAAATGTTTTTCACTGTTTTTTGTTTTTGCTACTCTTATATTATTTTTATACTTTTTGCTGTACTTCCCTGTTTCTTTTTAGTCATAATTTATGGGAAAAATGAATTAGAAACACTTAAATACCTAGTAGAATTTTTTGAAGTAATTTTTCAAGTTTTAAGTGAAAAGTAATTTTTAATTTATATAAAAAGATTGATTTACTAGTTGTATTTATCCTACATAACAATAAATTATAATTGATATTGTACCTTTTGCACTTTTATGATGTAGATCTTGAATTCTATAACAGAAGAAGTCCTTGATCATATGGGTACTTTCCGAAGTGTACTGGACCAACTAGACTGGATAATAAACAAATTTAAAGAAGGTAACATGAAGTAGATGATTTGCAGTTTGGGGATGTAGTTAAACATACACTTTTACATATTTATGTATTTGTATACACAAAAATGAGGATTATTAGCTGCCATGGCACATATCTTAATCTCAGCTACTCAAAAGGCAAGAGAATCACGAATTTAAGTCCAGCCTGTGCAACTTAGCTCTATCTCAAAACATAAAGGAAAAAGGGGGGTGGAGGTATGTGGCTTATTGATGGAACACCCCTGGGTTTAATCCCTAGTACTGGGGAAAAATTTTTTTCCATATCATCCATATTAAGATAATGCTGATATAGATATCTCTCAAGTAATGTCCTTTTTTTTCTTTTTAATGAATTTGTTCTATAAACTTCATCTAACTGAAAGAATATCTCCTACGGTCTTAAATTTGTATAGCTTTTTACTTATAAATGTTCAGGTTTTATGCCGCTAGTTGATTGGTACATCTTTGACAGATTTTTTTTGTTTAATATTTTGTAAAACATTTTTATTTCTAGGGCTTAAAATATATAGCCCAGTGATAGAGTGCTTGCCTAACATTCACAAGGCCCCCCTGGGTTCAATCCCCAGCACTGCAAAAAACAATTTTTTTTTTAAATTTGCAATTCTGGGGGTCAAACCGAGGCACACTCTACCACCAAGCTATATCCTCAGCCCTTTTTAAATTTTTTTTATTTTGAGATAGGGTCTTGCTAAGTTTCCAAGGCTCGCATCAAACTTGTGATCCTCTTACCTTAGCTTCCCAAGTTGCTAGGATTACTGGCATGGGCCACTGTGTCTGGCGCAAAAATAAAATAAAGTGAACAAACCATGTGTCATGTGTATCTTTCTTTCTTTTCTCTTTTTTTTTTTTTTTTTTTTTTTTTTTTTTTTGGTACAGAAGATTGAACTCGGGGGCATGCAACCACTGAGCCACATCTCCAGCCCTATTTTATATTTAATTTAGAAATAGGGTCTCAGTTGCTTAGCACCTCCCCATTGTTTAGGCTGGTTTTGAACTTGCAGTCCTCCTGTCTCAGTCTGCTAAGCCACTGGGATTTTTCCCATTGACTTTTATTCTCAACCCTTTTGCCTCTTATTCTTTCTACCTCGGGTGGAAGAAAAAATGTGTTTACTATTTCTGAAAGGATTGTTTTCCATCATATACACAAGGTGTTCCTGTTTCTTACTAGGTCTCCGGAGACACTACTACTACCATTGAGTTGGGTTTTGTGTTTTTTTTGTTTGTTTGTTTTGTTTTGTTTTCTGGTACTGATGATTGAACTTGGGTATTCAACACTGAGCCACATCCCTAGCCCTAATTTGTATTTTATTAGAGACAGGGTCTCAGTGAATTGCTTAGCGCCTTGCAGTTGCTGAAGCTGGTTGGCTTTGAACTCTTAATCCTCCTGCCTCAGCCTCCCAAAATCCTGGGGTTGCAGATGTGCACCACTGCGCCCAGCACCATTGAGTTTTAATGGAAAAAAAGTAGTTTACCCAATTCTGCTGACCTTCCACATGACTGTTTTTCTATTTTCATATCATTTCAGAGATTTTTTTTAAGACATTCCCCTTTTTGAGATAGGGTCTTACTAAGTTGCCCAGACAGTATTCAAACTTAAAATCCTCTTGATTCAGCCTCCTAAGTCACTAGGATAGCAGTGTACAGCACCGTGCCTACCTATAATTTTTTTCCTTCTTAAAGCCATTGACCTTGGCTTATTCTTTTGCTCTGATATAGTCCATGATGTTGACAGCTCCATCCTTTAAGTTCTTCCATCACAACATTTTATTCCTGGTAGTACTGGAGATTAAACCCATTGGGGCTCTGCCACTGAGCAACATCTCTATCCTTTGGGGGGGTTGTTTTGCTTTTTTTGGACAAGTTCTCACTAAGTTGCCCAGTTTGGCCTTGAATTTGTAATCATGCCTTGCCCTTTTGGGAAGCTGGAATTATAGGTGTTGACCATCGCATCCTGCTCTCCATTGACTTTTGGTGTGTGGTACTGTATATTGAACCAAGGGCCGCTCAAATACTAAGCAAGCATTCTATCACTGAGTTATATGCCAGCCCTTCATTTATATATTTCTCTGAACTTCCAGATACTTGAGCAATATCCTAAAGCTCTCTCCCGTTTTTTGTCTTCTTGGGCTTTTGTGATAATCAGGATTTTCAATATAATCTCTTACTGCTTAATGGGAACTCTTTTTGTTGTCACTTAATCCACCTTGCAATGTCACATGCAGAGATTCATTTCCAGTCTGCTACATGAATCTTGCTATGTTAAAACTGCATTTTTTAGGGCCTGGCTCAAGTGCTAACCATAATAACCTGCCTATTTTCTAAGTAAATGACCTATCTTTTCAAATAAATTGTATATCCCTAAGAAATCTTTGTTGTTGTTGTTGTTATTGTATGGTTTTGTTTTGTGGGGTTGTTTGGATTTTGGGGTTTTGTTTTTCTTGTTTTTTAAGGTACTGTTAAGATAGGGTTATGCTATATTGCCTAGTCTGATCTCAAACTCAAGGGCTCAACATCCTCTTACCTCAGCTTCCTGAGTTGCTGGGACTATAGGTGTGGGCTACCACACCCAGCTAGCAACCTTTATTTTGTCTCTAATATTTTAATATATTCTTTAATACCTAAGCTCTGTGTTTGGTAGGGACTTCACAAATATGCACTCAGAATAATAATTGGATTTCCTTCCTTTTAGATTCTTCCTTGAAACTCTTCCTTCTTATCCACAATCTGGATAGCCAGATGTTGAGAGGAGAAAAGAGCCAGCAAATTATTGGACAGTTGTCATCTTTGCATAACATATACCTTATAGCATCTATTGATCATCTCAACGCACCTCTCAGTAAGTTATAAGTTACTTTTTCTTTCTTGAGATATCCATCTTACAAAGTTTTCTTATTGTTTTCCAGTATGTTTCCTGTGTAAGATATTTAAAGACACAGGTTGCAAAAAATTTTAGGTATTCTCAATTTGATTTAGAGCATAGTTCTAGAAAATAAAAATTCACTTGCTTAAGAGGCATATTTAATTTGTATTTAGTGTACAAATAAAAATTGAGATATTGCCTGACAAGAAATTTAGGTTGTGAGTTACTAGTTTGGATGGAGAAGTGATAAAAATGGAAAATTTCAGAGTTGTTTGCATTGGTATAGGCCTGTAATCCTACCTACTCTGGAGGCTGAGGCCAGGGAATCACAAGTTCAAGGCTATCCTGGGCAATTTAGTGAAACTCTTATCTCAAAATAAAAAGGGCTGGTAATATATGTAGCTCAGTGGAAGAGTGCTTGCCTAGCATGTCTGAGGCCCTGGGTTCAATCCCTAGTACTGGGAGAAAAAAAAATTTACATCAGCCTGGGCAACTTAGACAGATCATATCTCAATTTTAGTATGAAAAGGGATAGGGGTGCAGCTCAGAAGTAGAGCACTTGCCTAGCATGTGCAAGACCTTGGGTCAATCCTCAGTACTTCCCCAACCCCTTACCCCCCAAAAAATCAGGATTCATTTTGTTCTATTTAGTATTTTCTCATTTTTTTCCTGGAATGGAATCTAGTAACACGAAAATAATTTGTAATTCTTTCCTTTGGACATGTCCTGTAGTGTGGGATCATGCAAAGCAAAGTCTTTATAATTGGCTCTGGTATGAAACTACTACATATAGTCCTTATACTGAAGAAACCTCTTATGAGAATTCTCTTCTGGTTAAACAATCTGGATCTCTGCCACTTAGTTCCCTGACACATGTGTTACGAAGCCTTACCCCTAATGCAAGGTAAGAATGTCAACTCTAATTCTTTTTTTAAAAACTATACAGGTGAGAGTTGGAGATGTAGTCAGTGGTAGAGCACTAGTATGTACAAGGTGCTGGTTTGATCCCAGTTTTACAAAATACAAAGAAAAACCCTCTATATATTTGAATGTTTGTACTACGAAGTTTATTGGTGCTATACTAAAGTCCCTATTTAAAGGATTACGAGAGATAGTAATAAAAACAGTTACAGTATTGGGTTATACAGTAGGCAAAATACTCAGTACTAGACTATCAAATTGCCCAGTAATAAACAAGAGTACTAATATTTTTTCTTTAATAAATTTTTATATTTCTGAATGAGAGCATCTAAATGGTCATTATGAGAAAAAGCAGAATTTTGGTAGATTCTTTTTTTTTTCCCCTTTCAAGGTTGAGTTTCATCTTGTTGCCAGGCTGGTCTCAAGCAGTCCTCCTACCTCATGAGTAATTGGTACATAGGTGGGCAGTGTAACACTCAGCTTGGATTTTACTTAAACTTTATGGCTATGTTTAATTATGTATTGAGCATTATGATCCCTCTCAAAAGCATAAGATTCTAGATCTGTCTCATAAGACGAGTTGTTGAAAAATAACAAACCTTCCTGAGAACAGATACGTAAAACCTGAATAGATTAAGAGAAAGAAAGAAGCCAGAAGCAGTGGCCCAGACCCTGTAATACCAGCTACCTAGAAGGCTGTGGCAGAAGGATTGCAAGTTCAAGGTCAACTTCAAAAAGTCAGTGAGACCCTGTCTCAAAATAAAAAGGGCTGGAGATGTGGTTCAGTAGTAAGGTATGCACTATGCCCTGGGTTCAGTCCCCAGTACTTCAAAAAAGAAAACAAAAACTTTTTAAGAAGACTTTTTAAAGACATGGGAAAAATTGGGGCTGGGGATGTGGCTCAAGCGGTAGCGCGCTCGCCTGGCATGCGTGCGGCCCGGGTTCGAATAAATATTAAAAATTCTCTCTATCTCTCTCTCTCCTCTCTCTCTCTCTCTTTAAAAAAAAAAAAAGACATGGGAAAAATCAGTAATTGAAAAGGTGAAGGATAAAATGGTGCATACAGTATATAAATGTATTAATTTGTATATTTTCACGGTGCCTCACTCCAGAAAGATTTGATGTAGCAGCTTATGCAATATGATCTCTACACCTAATGTTAGTGGTTATTATCTTAGGATTAGGAGGATATTTTCGTCTTTAGTTGTTGGTATATATTCCAAATTTTCTATAAAGAGAACTAATCTGCAGTCAGAAAAGAAAATGCTCTTATATTAAAAAAAGCTTCTTTTCTATGAGTCAAAAAGAATGATACTCCTTAGAGAAAAGAATAGAAAGAAGATAATGCAGACAAGCCAGATATTTGATGTTCTCTTTGTGTGTCTTACTATTAGCTGTTATTTCTTGCTCTTATTCTAGATGTAACTTCCTTTTTGTTTTCTTTTTCTTTAGGGGGATTTTCAGGCTACTAATAAAGTATCAGCTGGATAACCAGGATAACCCTTCATACATTGGTATCCAATATTTGATACATGTGTAACTTTTGTTTTACCCCTAACTTAAATTCCTTTTTTGTGGAATCTAGTGGAAGAACTGCAGTTTCTCAAAGTAGTGAATAAGTGGTTGCTCTGTGATGGGTATGTCCTTAACACAGTAGATTTAATTGTTCAGCTCTCATGACTTATTAGTTCCTTCCCTTTTTAAAGTCACTTTATTCACCCTGTTTAAAACTGCTGCAGTAGCTGGGCCTAGTACCAAAGGCCTGTAATCCCAATTATTCAAGAGGCTGAGGCAAAAGGATGGTAAATTCAAGGCCAGATGGATAATTAATTTATTGAGACCCTGCCTCAAAGCATGCAGGGGGTCTTGGGTCCAATCTCCATTGGTAGGAGTGGGAGGCAAAAATAGAATGTCCACAGGCTTATGTTCTGCTTGGTCATAGTTAACTACTTTCAGCATTCAGTTCTCTTTAAATTAAAAAGTATAGGCCACAGGTGCAAACGTAAAATGTTTTCTCTCCGGTAAGGTTGCTTCTTCCATGGGTTGTTTTGTTTGTTTGTTTTTGCTAGGTACTGGGGATTGAACTCAGGGGACATCTATCAGTGAGCTACATACCCAGCTTGCTATGTTAACCAGGCTGGCCTCAAATTTATGATCCTCCTGCCTCAACCTCTCCAGTAGCTGGAATCAGAGACATGCAGCATCACACCTGGCTTTTTTTTTTTTTTCTTTTTTAAAAAAATCAATCTTTATTGATGGCTTTGGCATAATATGTTGGCAACGCTTTTGTTATCTATTCTTTGATATGGGTATCTGTTTATGGGTTACATCTTAAATGCAGACTTATGTTCACATCTCCTTTCGATTTCTTTAGGACTTTCTTTTCAAGATTTTTACCAGCAGTGTCGGGAAGCATTCCTTGTCAATAGTGATTTGACACTCCGAGCCCAGTTAACTGAATTCAGGGACCACAAACTTATAAGAACAAAGAAGGTAAGATTCTGCTGTTTTAGGATTATGTACCAGGAGAAGTACATATCATTTACTTTGGATAAGTATATCTTTGACTCACACCTGAGTATGAAACAGTTTCCATGGTGGGCCACAAGGATTCCTTTAGTGTATGTGCCATCTTAGTTCTCTAAAAAGAGACATGTAGAAGTACTCTGCTGGGGATGTGGCTCAAGCGGTAGCGCGCTCGCCTGGCATGCGTGCGGCCCGGGTTCGATCCTCAGCACAACATACAAAACAAGGATGTTGTGTCCACCAAGAACTAAAAAGTAAACATTAAAAAAAAATTCTCTTCTCTCTCTCTCAAAAAAACGAGTACTCTGCTTCACTGCAGAGAAGAATACTGTGTATAAGTTCTAGTCCAAAGTAATAGGCCATTAGAAATATAATATGAATCAAATAATTCTTTTCTAATTAGTTCAGTATATTATATATTTGATATATTAATATAACTATTTGATAGTTAGTAAGCACAAACTATATATCAAATATTAGATTAAGTATGAAGTTATAGTAATAAGCAAAATCCTAACTGCTTTTCTGATGGAGCTTAAAAGTGGTTGGATTCAAGATATACTTGGCAAGCAGAATTGACAAGAATTGATGAAAAATTAGATGTGGAAAATGTCAAGAGTGATTTCTGGTTTCTGGTTTGCATAGCCAGAGATAGTGGGATCATTTGATGAGAAACTGGAAAAGTAATGTTTGTGGGATACAGATCATAAGCTAATGAATTTAGTAAGTTTAGACTTTTAACTCTGGTTTTTTCTTTGTGATTCCCAAGTGGAGTGTGAATTAGGTAGTTGGATACCTAGAGCAAGAAACCAGAGGAAAAACCTAGGCTGGACATACAAGATTATGATTCCAATTTATTCCTGCTGTAATTGAAACCAGGCATTGGTGGGACTTCTAGAATGAGGACATTTAATGAGAAGAGAGGGACAGTGACTAAGCCAAGAAGTCTTAAATTTAATGGTCAAGGATAAACCTCCAGAGGTAAGGAAAACAGCCAGAGAGAAGAGAAAAGAAAAAAAACAAGGTGTCAGAGAATCCAAGAGTAGCGTATTTTTAAGGAAGAGAGAATAATAGTCAAATGTTGCTGAGGGGCCAAAAAGATGAAGATTGAAAATATCTGTGGGATTTAGGAATATGGAATTCCTTAACAGAATGACATATAACAGGAGCAGTAACTAGGTTGGACTATGTGGAGTGATAAGTGAAGAAACAGATCATATATATATATATATATACACACACACACACACACACACACATATATATAGACAGTGCTCTCTCTGGAAAGATAACAAGAGTAGGGCAGTAGTTGGAGAGGAATGAAGGAACCTAATGAAATCTATTTTTAAAAAGAGAGATACCGGGCTGGGGATTTGGCTCAAGTGGTAGTGCGCTCACCTGGCATGTGTGCGGCCCGGGTTCGATCCTTAGCACCACATACAAATAAAGATGTTGTGTCCGCCGAAAACTAAAAAATAAATATTAAAAAAAAAAAGAGAGAGAGATACCTGAATGTGTTTAAAAGCCAGTGGAAAGAATCTTATTGAAAGAGGAAAAAAGAACAGAGAAATCAGGAATCAGGTTATGGAGAAGGCAGGATAAAGGATCTAAAGCTCAGTGAAGAAAATATCTACCCACCTACCCCACTCTATTTAGTTTTCCTTTCCTGGTAAAATGGTTTAACTATAACTCAATGTTTTAAAATACATAAATACGTCTGTTTGTCCTTTTGCCTTTTTATATTTTGGTATTTCTTTAAAACACTATATCAAAGAATCAAATCCATTTCATTAATGGTGTTCTTGTGTCTTTTAGGGAACTGATGGAGTAGAATATTTGTTAATTCCTGTTGACAATGGAACATTGATTGATTTCTTGGAAAAGGAAGAAGAGGAGGCTTGAAGCTATCTTTTGCTCTTGAATCTTCCATTGGAAGGGTTGTTGTACCCAGCTGCCACTCTAGTCGAAAGTGTTGTTTACATCCAACATTAGATTATTTTTCCAGCATATAATAAAATTCAACGTTAGGAGAGAATATGTCATCAATTAGATCTTTTAATTAGCCTGGCTGGTGTACCATCTCTAGTACTATGCAAGTGGTCCTTGAGTTGCAGAAAATGTGCCTTTCACTCATTACCTCTCTGGAGACTTCTTGCTGGAATGATCAGTGTGCTCAGGGACTATTTGGAACTGGATGCTTTTGAATTCTTTTCTACTAAAGATATTATTCCTAATTTTTTGAGGGCCTTTTAACACTCCTGGAGCTGATTGTAAGTGTGCTTGTTCCAGAGCACAGAAGTACAAAGACAGGCATCACAGAAGTGTGTTCTTTGTTTCGGAACAGATGAGTGGAGACAATAGATCATTTCTTGCTCTTTGTGAAATAATTTAAGAAAAGGTCTGGGGGAGAAGAAGTAGGTGATCTGCCTTTCTCCTTTTGAATTTAGGCTACATACTTGGTAGGGGGGTAATACTATTCAGTTGGGAAAGTGAGATAAGCATAAGGACGATATAGGGTATATACCCAACTTAGAAAACACATCAACTATAGATCTTATTTGGAAAAGTCATTATCTTAGCCATGACCTTGACCTTAATAATACAAGTGAGAAACCAGGCTAAAGAAACTGAATCCTGACTTAGTTATTGTTTTCAGAACACAAAATAAAACACTTCATTATTCTTGTATATTGACAATAGTGTATTAGTGGTTGGCTGAAAATGTTGGTTTCTCTGTCAAGTAGACATTAATCTCACTGTAAGATACTTCCATTTTTTGTTAAAGTGACAATTTCAAGCCTCCTAGATATTTAAAAAGCTTTTCTTATTATCTATAAGCTGACAACAGTGGTCAAGCTTAGCTTATAGATTATACAAACCCCCTGAAATATGTCACACCTGAAAATGAAATTCATTTAAATATCATTGTAATAAAGTCTTCAGTGCATCAGTTTTTCTTATTTCTTATCCTGTAAACCTTTTCCATGAAAATATTTCCAGAAATATTTGGAAGTTTTTTCATATAATTAATTTCATGTTAAGTCCACTTATTAAGGATTTAGTCTCATAATAACTACTAACCAAAATTTATACCTGAATATGAGATTAAATAATTTAATAGTACCAAAGGATATTCAATGAAAGTGAATTTCTTTCCCATTTCCTAATCCCTGGTCCTTTAGGTAACCACTGATAGCAGTTAACTTAAGTATTCTTCCAGAGGTAATCTATGCACATGTAACAATATGTCTTTCTCTTTCAAAAACATAATGGTAACTAATGTACTTGCTGGTTTGCACCTTGCTTTTTTGCTTAATATATCTAGTTTTGACAACTGTTAACAGTATAAAAACTATATAAAACCTTTAATAATCTAATGTGCAAATTTTTGCATTTGCCTTTAAATATCTACTGGTTTATTTTTGTAATTTTTGTGTTTATACTATTTGCAAGCAGTATGTGTCAATAGAATTTACTATTAATAAAAAGCCAATTTGGATAGAATCACCTTTTTAAATTTATAGTGCTGTTTTCTTACTAAAATATTTCAAAGTAGTTTCAAAAAATTTTTTTAGTTCATCTGACAAAACACTGAGGATCTTGGCAGAATCATCATATGTTCATCATTAACTTGTATCAGCATCATTGGTTCCTTAAGGTCCAGCAGTTATGTCCTGACTACCCTCCCTCTTCCCCACTGATGGTGATTTCGGCTCAGCGGTAAATAAATAAAATAAAGATATTGTGTCCGACTACAACTAAAAAACTATTTTTTAAAAAAAGAATATCCAATCATAAATACATTCTTTGACCCATTAACCATTTCTAGAGCTCTATCCAAGAAAATTACCAAAACCTCCAACTAAATGAGATATTGCCATCATCACAGATGAAATCACATCATTTTTGTGTGCTCAAAAGAAAAAAAGGGTTTAAGAGTCCACTGAACCCAAGCTTGCTTTTTTTTTTTTTTTTTTTTTTTTTTTGACACAGGGCAACCCAGGAATGCTTACCCACTGAGGCTGGCATCAAACATGGAATCACTCTGTCAGCTTGCTGAGTTGCTGGGATTACAGGTGTGCACCACTTTGTCTGGTTCCAGGCTTTCTTCTTCTGTGGCTACATGGCTATACCTTCCTGCCTCCTGCTCACCCCTTACCCTGCCTCAGGGGCATTTTATCACTTATCTACATTCCTAGTGCTTTTAATTTTATTTACTTATACTGAGGATTGAACCCAAGACAGCTTAGTCACTGAGCCACATCCCCAGCCTTTTTAGTATTTAGAGACAGGGTCTTGCTCTTGTTAATGAGTTGCTGAGGCTGGCTTTGAACCTTCCATCCTCCTTCCTCAGCTTCTGAGCCACAGGTATTAACCAGGTTTGTGCCACTGTGCATGGCTGTTCCTTTTATTTTTTTTGAGACAGGGTCTCACTAAGTTACTTAGAGCTCCAGAGTTGCGGAGGCTCGCCTTGAATTTGTAATCCTTCTGTCTCAGCTTCCTGAGCCAGTGCCTCCTGCTTTCTAAGTAATTAATAATGAACTAATTACTTGGGCTTTCCAGTATATTGTGCTATTTCTCTCCCATGTACATTTGTTCAAGCTGTTCCTAGTGACTGAGTTCTAATCTACTCCCAGAAAACCTTCCCTGGCTTATAATTACCATCCAAATTTCTGATCTATGCTACCCCCATGTGTTTTAGGCCCAGCATATAGAAGGCAAATGATGACTGACTGGATCAAATACCATTAGATAATTCCTCAAAGGTGATCTACTAACTCATTCTCTCCATTTTGATAGTGTTGATCATCCATTTGAAGCTTTCTCCTTGGTTCTGACACTACCCATTCTTTCCTCACCTCTTTTCTTGGCTCCTCCTCCATTTATAATTGGGGCACTTCACAAGACTCAGGCCAAACATTATTTCTTCAGTGGATCAAAGTTAGAGGAGAGCCACTGAACAATTTCTAAGTTAGGATCCTAAGTGCTTGGGGAGATAGATTGGTTAGAAAAAGTAACCTACAAAAGGAATGTAAAATTCGACATGTTGGACAATACTTTAAAAGATCTGCTTTTATCATTATCAAAGCAACTTGCTCAGAAGAAAATTTGTAAATACTTTTCAACATACTATCCAAAGAAAAATCACAGCAAAAGTGGGTTTCTTCCAGACTGCTTCTATCAATTTCATTATAAATGTGTTTAAGAAGTGATTAAGCCAGAGGGCTTGGTGCCAGACTGCCTACATTAACTCCACCACTTCCTAGCTAAGCAACCTTGGGAAAATTACTTAACCTGTGTCAGTTTCCTCAATTTTAAAATGAGTATAATACCTATATGCTTGTTTATAAGGCTTGAAAAGTTAATGTTTACAAAGGACTCAGCAGAGCACCTGGCATAAAATTAATATGGTATCATCAATATTATTTTGAGAGACAAGCATCATTTTGTATACTAATAAAATTACATATAAGTCACCTGGAGAAGCAATAAATTGAAAACTGTTCACTTTGAATAACAACAAAAAAGGCAAAACAAATCCTGACATGCATTTGGGAGATTTGAATCTAGGTGGATCTAGGAATAGTTACACATAAATAGACCTTACCACCACAAAGAGGCTGCTTCCTATAAATAAATATTCAAACCCAAGCTTTTAAAGCTTATATAAATATATTTTTCAAAGGCATAAACAGTGGTTTATTTAAGAAAGCAGATATATATTTAAGAGAGAGTAAGGGCAATGTGATGCCTGTGGAGTAAAGTGAGAAATATGCACTCAAGGAAGAATGGACTATCACCAGAGTGAGAGACAGCAACCCATTGGTGTGGGATGGTAATATTTACAAAAATCTTTGTATTTTTAAAGCTCTGCAAAGGCAGAAATTTCTAGATTGGCATATCCTATCTACAGTTTAATACAATGATTACTTGAGCTACTTCCCAAGAATGTTAAGTAAACATAATTTAGTAATTTTTTTATAGAGTTCTTTAATATGGTAGTTACATTTCGGTTTTTACCTTATGAGCTATAAAACATTTGGTGAACCAGATTAACAAATCAAAGATGATAATACATTCTAAGATTCTCCTTTGGAAGTATCCCAGTACCACTAACTTAAGTTATACATCTGAGTTTCGATCCAAATGATTTTTAGATTGTGTCATCCTTATGTTCCTGTATGTGTTAAACAACACAAAGTGGGTCCCTGTCTGTCTCTGAGAGGATAATATCAACCTTATTCTCCAAGTGCACACGCAGCATATCTCGAAGGTCAGAAAGAAAGCCTCGTTCAGTGTTGCTGTGTTCACAAAGGATGACATTTATTCCTTGGGAAGCAGCATGCAAAATATCATGATGAGACATTTCACCTAACAAAAAGGAAAAAACAAATTCTTAAATATTAGACATGAAATTCTGTATGAAGTAAATGTAATACATGTAACTACATATAAATAAAGAAAACTGTATAGTTTTCTTACATGACCCTCAGTGTGAAAATAGGCCATCCCACTGAAAATTCTCTTACTTCCTCTGGGAAGACCCCAAGCAAGTCAGTCAGCTTTATATCAATATAATGAAATAACTGACACAGCCTATTTAGGAAAAGGTTTATTTATTTCACAATTTTGGAGATTCGGGCCAAAATAGCTTAATAGCAGGCTCTATAGTGAGGGCCATCCCTTGGATGCATCATCTCCTGGTGTGGATGGTAATGGTAGGAGCTTATGTGGGATCAAAAAAATGGTCACACCTCAAACCTAGAGCATGGAAGACATCTCGAGCACCAGGCTTCCTCATTTTACAACCATCCTCTCAAGAGAACTCAAGGGATCACACAAGAACTACCTTCTAAGACCACACCTCCAATGACCCAAAGACCCGCTAGGCCCCACTTCCCAAAGGTTCCTTCACCTCCCAATAATACCACTCTCAGGACCAAGATCCTAACACACGAACCTTTGGGAGGACATAAAGCACATTAAATCATAGCAGTAAATCTCTAATCTAGTATATCCAACCAAAACCATATCTGTAAGAACACACACTGAAAGTGTTTTCACAATAAAATAAATGATCACTGCTAAGTAAAACAACACTTTCAGGAAGTCCCCTTCTTAGGAAAGCAATAACACCTGAAGGGAAAATCACAGGTATACTTCCCCCAAGTTCCTCTTATGAGTTATGAGCACCAATATTTTCACAATCAACCCTAGTCTACTCATAAGGATGAAACAAGTTTAAAGATATTTCTAGATTTATTTAAAAAAAAAAAACAAGCATAGTATCCTTTATACAAAATGCTGGGCTGGGTGTGGTACAATAGCATACACCTGTAATTCCAGCAGCTTGGGTGGGTGAGGCAGGAGGACTGCAGGTTCAAGACAGTCTCAGCAACTTAGCAAGGCACTAAGCAATTCAATGAGACCCTGTCTCTAAATAAAATACCAAAAAGGGATAGGGATGTGCTTCAGTGGTTAAGTGCTTCTGAGTCCAATGCCCAGTACCAAAACAACAACAACCAAAACAAAAAAAAACAAAAACAAAAAAAAACCAGGAGACCAGAAATGTTGAAGTGTTTTAGATTTGGGATTTTTCATGTGGAAATATTTACATAAATATGTAAGATATCTTAAGGATGGAACCCAAGACTAAATAGGAAATATTTCACATACCTTATACACATGGCATGAAAGTAGTTTTATATAATATTTTAGTACAACTGTGTTTTGACTGTGACCTGTTACATGAATGAAGCTAAGTGTGGAAGTTTCCATTTTGGCATCATGTCAGTGGTGCTATCTCATCAGGATTTTTGTGAGAAAATGATGACTTTGAATTTGATAGCAAAAATATAGTGTACACAATTTGGGATGCTCATAAAAACATAATTTTAAACTATATTTATATAGCCATAAAATTAAGAAGAAAGTTTTTTTAGGGGGAAAATGAGTAGTTTTAATTATAATAATTTTCAATTCTCTACTAATATGTATCATTTCACTATTAGAAGTAGTTTGTTTTCAAGAACCTTTTCAAAAATCTTACTCTATAAAAGTGAAAATAAAGTAAAAGTAGAAAAAGACACTAAAGTGACCAGGTTGAAAGCCATGTTTTAGGGGAAGACAGCCTGGCTGCCCAGAATATCATGAACTCACAGGCTAGAGAAAGCACAAAAGTGGGAAAATCAGGAGGACCCTGTATTAAGAGTAGAGGCCAAAGGAAAGAAAAACCTGGCACAATGGGAAAGAATAAGCAAAAGGAGAGTAAAAGAGACAAACAAGAAATAATTTGGTTTGTAACATGACAGCTTCCATTTGCTGATCTTTACAGTATTTTACCCATAAAGACCTAACAGAATGCTATAAGGACAAAGCTGAGGAACTATTCCAGACTGACGAACATGGATCAGCAAAAAAACCAAAAGCTATCGTGCATGATGGCGCATGGCTGCCTGTAATCCCAGGGGCTCAAGAGGCTGAGGAAGAAGGATCACAAGTTTAAAGTCAACCTCAAGAATTTAGTGAGACCCTGTCTCAAAATAAATAAAAAGGGCTGAGGATGTGGCTCAGTGGTAGTTCAATCCCAGTCCTCCCCAATCCCAGTCCCCACCCCCCTACTAAAAAAAGAAATGCTATAAATTTTGATCAACCAGAAAATTTTAATATGACTGCATATATGTTTTAACAATATTAAATTAACAAACTCAATAACTTTTCATAGTTATATAAAAGAATATCTTTGTTCTTAGATTATTTATTGAAGGGTGAAGTGGTATCACATATTTGATTTACTATAAAATGGTTTGGAAGGAAATACATAAATATATATGTGGATATTTATTTTATCATACTAACACATTAGACATACTTATACAGGGTGAGCATCACTAATTTGAAAATGTGTTAACTTTTTTCAGTGCTGCCAACATGATGCCACAAGTAGATGATTCCACACCTGACCTCAAATAATGGTTGTAATCAATATGGAGATATACTAAGAATAATGTATAAAATTACCTTCAGACCATATGGATAAAATGCATATGAAACATGAATAAATTCTGTGTTCCAGGGCTGGGGATATAGCTCAACTGGTAGAGTCCTTACCTCGAATGCACAAGGCCATGGGTTCAAACCCCAGTACCACACACACACAAAAAATTCTGTATTCCATCCCTAAGATATTAACTCATTAAGTATATGCAAAATCCAAAATATTCCAAAATTCCAAAACACTTCTTATTTCAAGCAGTTTGGATACTTACCCTGTATATAAATATTCACACACATGAATGTAATATGTACATAATGTATACATAAA